GGTTTAGCTGCGGGGTCTGGAAGGGTTTCCCATTGTCTGAGGTTGATTAGGTCAATGGCTAATATATCCTCCTTGTGTAAAAGGCAGTAAATCATTCTTTAATGTATTTAGTTTGCTTTGAAATTTACTAATGTTTTCCATTTGTGTACTCTGGCTTTCTCTCAACTGTTGGAGACTTTCTTGTTTGTTTTTTTTCTCTTCCAACCACTGCTGTAGTCTCTTTTCTTGTTTGTTTTCTTTTTCCTCCAACAGCTGCAGTAATCTCTCTTCTTGTTCTTTTGCTGTTCTTGTATTGCTGTCATCAAATCTGCTAAGCTGTAGTTTGATTTGCCACTTCTGGTTTCCATTTTTTTTTTTTTCCATCCCACTCTCTGACACCAATTTGTTACATCTATGTTTGTTTGTTAATTTTTCATAGAAATTCTTTCCGAGAAACTTCAGCAATACAAGTCCTTTCTTAAATAAAACTAGTTTATTCTTTCTCAATTCAACTTTGCAGTACACTTAATTTCCACATTCACTTCAACTTAAACACATGCTATAATTCACAACGAACGATTCACGCACTTTACTACTGTGCTTGACTCAATTGTCCATTTCTATCTCTTCAATCTGCAATTATTCATATCTATGCCGTCACTTCTCGCCGGTGTTATATATACGAAATAGAGTGCGTCTGGAGGCTTCATGAACGGACATGATCTTTCTAGAATCTCATGATGTGTTACTAGCGTCACATGACTTTTGCTGTCGTAACAATATTTTCAGATGATTTTCTGTGCAAGAGCAAAGATTTCAACAAATAGATACTGCAATATAAAAATGAATATAAAAAAATTGTTGACAAATGGTTAAAATATGTAATAAATGATAAACAATCATGATGCTTGGAAAACGTGTATAAAAGTAGATAAATAAACCTGATAATCCAATGCACTTGCATTGATTTTTTTTTTTGTAGAACATTTTGTCAGATAATTAAAAGTTATTTCCAGGCTTGTTTGCTATTCTAATGTTTGAAACTGTTCAGACTTAATAAATGTACATATGTATGAGATAGTAAGCTTTTAGTGTGTGATTTTAATGGTTTTACTGTGAATTTTGAAAGAAGTACTTTTAGGTTATATTTTTGTTCTTTTGTTTAAAGTGGATGGAATTTTTATTATACATATCTTTTTAGTTTACCTTTTGGATTCTTTCTAGAAGTGAGCTTTGTTACTATTCTAATTAAGTTTACATTTTTCATGTACTAGGTCTATGCTGTCTTGGTTCCTTTATTAGGAGAAGAACCTTGGGTAGTTAAAATGGATCTGCAGCTTAGTCATCAAGACTATTTAAACAATATGTTTAGTTCACTAGACTTGAACAATTGTGAAGGTGTAGATGAAGAACAATTATCATTTCTTTCAAGGTAAATGTGTTTGTTTAAAATAAAATTGGTACATGTTTTCAATGAGTTATCAGTAAGATACACAGTAGGCTTGGTGCTGTTATTAATCATTTTGATGGATAAGTTCAACTGTCTGTATTAATATGTTTCCAGTCATGATTTTAGTACCTAGCAAATGGAATGGTCTGGTTAAGGTATGATGTAATCTGATTGTTGAAATTTTACCACATTTATAGTAAACCACCAGGTTCAGGTTCTCTGCTTAGATCAGAACTAAGAATAAAATGTTCCAAGAAGCCACAGAAATTTAGTAAGTTTCATTTCCTTTTTTACAAACTTCTTTTAAGACTTGATATAATATTTTGTGATAGTACAGTTGTTATTCTCCCAGTGATTATGTTATGGATTGATTTTATCATATTTGAATTAACAACTCGCGTGTGGTAGATTCCATGTTACTTACTAACATTTACTTCATCTCATAGTAACACCTTCCTTGGTTTAAGTTATGCATTACCATTATAGGTAAGTAACTTTTCTAATTATTGGTTTATTTCTAGATACATAATAAATAAAATTACATATTTTTTGATAGCTCATAACTTATATGAAACTTGAAACTGGTAAATTTGGGGTAATTTGAAGGGGAACAATTTCTTCATGGTGGTACACTTTTTATTGCCCATGGAGTACTTCAGAAGGGGTGGGCATATATATGCCCATGACAATGAAAGAGCTAAAAACAAAACTGTCAAAGAACTGTATATCTTTTGACATTTTACAACTTCTAATCATGGATGAAGGACAGTACATGAAGCTATTCTTCTATCAAGTCTGGTAATACTGAATTTATATTTTTGTATTTCAGTCATGAATATTGGTTAGATTTAGGACAATTTAAACACCATATACATACTTTAGCTACATTTTGGGCAATCACTCTTCCTTCCACAGAATATTAAAAACAATATTTTTTTTAAAATCAGTATGTATGAGGTGCAATGTTAATAACTTGGTTATGAAACATATAAACACTAGCAAGCTCAATTCATGACTGATAGCACAACTTGGATAAGAAAAGGGAATTTCTGTGAGAACATAACATAGACCTACGTATTGTGAATAAAATTAACTCTCTTTATGTATCTGCTTGGTCATTTTGATTGACATTGCAACCATCATGTAAACATGAAACTATACATGCCATAACTCTATATATACTACACGTATCTTCACAAACTTTGGCAAGCTTTTAGTAAACATTAGATATGTTGCACAAAAAAAATCAGATTTTTCAATAAAGTATTTTTACCAAAAATTTGTCTGTGAATTGCATAACCTCTAGAACTAAAGGTATATATATATATATATATTATTTTTTTTTTTCTAAGTAAACTGTATACTTTAACTTATGTTCTGTGCTTTAAAAGTTGCTGTAGCAAAATCCTTTCCAGAGAAAATTGAAAGATATGAAATAAAATAAAAAGTAACTCTTTTGTTTCGAGAATGACTGCAGATTGTAACAGACAATTAGGATTACTTATCAAAAGAGTTTTAGGCCTCTTTTTCACAATTGCTTTAATTTAATTTTATTGTTTTAATACTTCTTGAGCCACATCTAACTACTGCTACAAGCAATATAGCACCGAGGTGAGAAGAGTTTATGGTAAGCAGAGTTTCGGGTTATATCAAGTGATATCGAAATGCATATATTCCTTGTGCATTTCTTGAGGAGTGATCATCGAAATTTTTTCATTTGAGTTTTCTTGGATAACCTATTAAGTTTTAATTTGTACATTTTAGTTACTTTTCTTAATAAATATAATAAATAAAAATATTCATAAAACCAATAAACTTAGAACTTACCTAAGCCTTAGGCTGGTTTGCACTTTGCTGCCTGCATGTTTAAGCCTTTTTTTCTTCTAACTATGTTCATAGTCTATAGTGTAATTTGTGTAGCTTTCAAATGTACATTTTAGAACACAATAATATAGCAAACACTGAAATAGAATGTCCCAAAAGTAGTATAGTTTATCTGGATTTCTAACTAAGCTATAAATAGGTTAAACAAATTTCCTTAGTCTTTGGAGCACCATCTTCAGTCTACACACGCTAAGATCTACTTGCAAGATAGTAGCTTTCACTGGGAAAACAAAATGTACACTGACAAGTAGGCATGAGCAAGTAAGTAATTTCAAAAACATGACAAGTAGAGAAGAGCTTCTGTGTCATGGGTGGGACAAATTTATTTATATCTCAGAAAATAAAGAAAGTGGAAGGTTCTTATTTTATTTTCTGGCCTGTCACTATTTATAGTTTGTGTGAATGATGAAAACTCTTAAATCCATGTAAGGGAAGAAAGAAAACCTAAAAAGGAGTGTATGACATGGAAGTAAAGAATGAGAATTTATTTCAAGATTTTCTTTTGAAATAAGAAATTAAAACATGGATAATTTAAAAACTTGGATTATAAACTAAATTTTAATGTATAGATTATTAATATACATTGCTAATAAAGTAGTTTATTTAAAGTTTGAATATAACTCTGTAAAAAATGTTTTGACATGCATACTTGGACCCTACCCTGACCTGCATCCAGAGTGTTAAGTTTTACATATCACTCGTTTTAAGGAATGTATGTTATTAATGTTGTCTTCAGAATAAATTGGTGCCAGTCATTTTTCCTGATGAAAATTAAATTATGCAGTGATATTTACCAATATTATGAAACCATCAAGAACATGTCAATCAGTATCAGCCTGTGATTAACAATTTAGAGGTAAAAACTAATCTCATGAAATACTGAGAGGTGATTGATATATATGTATATATACATACACACTTCTTTTTGCCTTGGAAGATTAAACAAGTTTTTAAAATAATGCCATTGAAAATTACATAGCAAAATACCAGTCTGTTTTCTTCAATTTCAAAAAATTCTTAGGTCGTACATATCATATGACTATTTGTGTGATACCGTATTTACACAGCAAAATAATTATGAACTTGGATTAGACAAGTTACAATATACAAAGAATATTTCATACATCTATTTGAGTCTTTGAGTCTCTTGCTGCAAAATTCCCTGATTTCTGAATTCATAATAAAGAGTATATATATATATATATATATATATATAAGTAGTTAAACATAAAAGTTGTGTTTTAATGGTTCATGGTTATTTCATAGTTAATTTTATAATATTAATATCATTTATGTACATTAAAGAAGATGTCTTACTTGTTATTTTCATTTACCTTCTCATCTTACAACCATAAAAATAATGATGTGACTGTTTACGTATTTAAGAAACACATTAAGACTATTTCATTTTTACAATTCGCTATTTAAAGAAACAGTAATATTATCAGAACTTCCATAGATAGGTCTATACCATATTAAACACCAGTTTTTAAATCATTGTTTGGCTAAGTGTACTAAGGACAACATGTACTCATTGTAATAGTAATGAAAATTTCACATCTCTTAACCAGAAAATTTTGACTATACGCCAGTTTTGAAAGCTTCAGAAAAATATTTGTAAATTGTTGTATTACATTTTATGTATCAAATGTCATTTCACAAAGTGATGGAAATGACCCAGGATATTTTACACTGTTTAATTGTGCATGATAATTTTTCACAGTTAATACATTAAAATTGAATCATGCAATATGATTGTAAGTTATTGGGGGGAAACATTTTTTTATTTTTGCTACAGGATTTGTATCATCTAAGAATTCAGTATTATCTCATCCTGTAACATTTCACTCCAAAGTCAAATCTTCAGGTTATACTTCAACTCCAAGGTAAGGCTGCAGTTAGTGTTATCCTATTGAGTAGCTTTTTTTCTTAAGCTTTGTGGCTTTAGCCAGTAAATTACTAATCTTAATGCTCTTGTAAAAGGATTTAGTTTCAATAAAATTGATTGTGTGTGTGTCTATATATATATGTGAGTGTGTGTATGGTTTTCTCTGTTGCTGATTGTTAATGTTAAAACTATAATGATAGATATTGTCTTTCTAAAGACACAAATTGCATTTTTACCTGTATACAAGTCCTTTCTTTTATGTGTTTTTAATACTTATTTTTTATAGTAACATAAACATTTACCTTTTGTCTCTGATATGGAATTAAGCTAGAGTATCAAATAATATTAACAAAATGCCATTCTTTTGTGCTTTACTTAGGACAACAATGTTTAAACCAAAGACAAATACAAGAGAAATATATGCACAGGATAAACATAACATTTATAATAATGAAAAATGGAGGAGGTAGGTTTTGCTGCATATTATGTGTCAAGATTTGTATGTTTGGAAAAGAATAAATTTTAAATATTCAGATTTTATGTGTCATAATCTTGTTGCTTCTTGCAAATTTATGTAAGAACTGTAAAACAAAATTTAAAAAGAAAAATATGATAGCTTCTAATTGAATAACACAAATACAACCTGATATTAAATTACAAAAGCCTATAAAAGTGAAAGATGAATAGTCAGTTGACAAGAATATGCAGTCATTTGTAGATTATATGTAATTGTCAGTAATTTATTATTCAGATTGTGATAATTTGAACTCTTAATCTTTTATCTTAAATTTCTTAGAGAAATTATGGTGTCATCATCTTTATGTGGTTATGCATTTTATTCAACATAAAGATATTTTAATGTTTTACAAATATCCACTGAAAATTCAACTAATAGAAGGTTTTCATGGACACAGATAGTGTATAAACTTAATTTTAAGTGTTTGATTTTATTCATTATATATGAAGTCAGATTAAAAAATTACAGTTTGAGAGCTAAACAATGTGTATACGTTAAAAAGTTTTCATAACAAACAAAGCAAAATTTCATTAATTTTTTTTTCCTTCAAGACACCTGAATCAAGAAATTGATAGTGGTTGGTGGGTTGGGCTAAAGTCACTTGAACTGTGGAAGACCAGGGCACTTCCCTATCCTGCTGCTGTTAGTGCTTTGTCCATCACTGGTGAGCTTATTCTTATTAAGATTAAAAACAAATTCTTACTTTTTGTAGTATCATATTTCCATAGCTGATGTTTTTATAACATTTTAATATGTTTTCGTTACTGTTTGTTGTTTACCTTTCTCTGTTATATTCATTCCCCAACCTTTTACATATCTTTTTGGGTTCTCGAGCTTAAATGTCTGACTTATATATGATGTCCTATTAATATTTTTAGGGCATGAGTTTGTTATTAGTGTGTGGGTAGTTTAGTAAAATGTTGTGTCCTATTGATATTGTTAGGGCATAAGTATGTTATTAGTTTATGGGTATCTCAGTAAAACATTGTCCTATTGATATTTTTAGGACACAAGTTTGTTATTAGTGTGTGTAGTTATTTTAGTAATATGTTTTAGGGCACAAGTATGTTAATATTTTGCTGGTATTTTATTAAAATGTGATCTATTGATATTTTTAGGGCAAAGATTGAGTAGGTGGCTCATGAAGAAATTCTTAATAACCTCAGCAAAAAAACAACATACAAACTGGATTTTCCACAATACATTAATAATTTAAACCATAATATTAAATTTGGAAAGTAAAGTATGTTCAGCTATAGCTGTCTTTTAAAGTTACTTTTAGGCCAAAATATGAAGCTTGTAAGTTGCCTTACGTATTGTAGACAACGGTCGTATGTACTTAATGCTGTCAATATAGGGTGGTAGTTATTTTTGGATTATGAAACTAATTATGAAAATGTGGAAGTAATGTCATAAGTATCCTGAAAAAAAATATTTATAAGGAAAAAGTTTTTATAATATGCTTAAAGTAGAAAATAAAGATAGAAATGTTTTGATGTTACACACTTCTAGGAGATGGCCGGTACCTTGCTTGTGGACTAGCAGATTCATCTGTCGAAATTTTGAACTCTGACCAGCTTAACCATGTGCGGACTTTAACAGGTAAGAACAAAATGATAAAGAAACAGATCATAATATACTGATATTGGACAACTGATAGATAAAATACATCATTTTATGTTAATAGGTCATAATGGTGCATTAACCAGTGTCCACTTCAGCCACTCAGGCAAGTGGTTAGTCATAGGAAGTGCTGACAAATCTTGTAGTGTATGGGCCTGGAACCATTCTGAGCCTCTTCTCTCATTGGGACCCTCCAAAATCCATCAACAAGGGCTAGTAACAGGAAATAATAAAAAATGTGTATGTGTTTTTTTAATATTTTGTTATAAAAAATAATTTAAGGTAAGATTATAATCACCTCAAGGTTTAAAGCCTGGCAAATGTTTTTTTCCTCATTTTAATTTGTAGAAGACAAAAGAGAGTTCTGAAATGCTGTTTCTACACATGCTTAATTTTATATCTGTGTAGCACATGTTAAGAAAAATGTAGGAAAAACATGTATAGCACATAATTTAGAAATACAAGGTTATATTACAATAAAACAATTTTTGAAAATGCAAATCAGTAAGTCATATGATAACCACATCTGATAAAAAGTCACAATGGAATAGTATGTATCAGAACTGTATTTCATAGGTAGTTTGATGCCATGAAAATTAATTGCTTTTAAGAAGGGTATGTAACAGTTCTTTCTGATGCAAAATATTCATAAAGATGTTTGGATTGGGAATTTACATTTTCCCTTGTACTTAATGACATTGGGAAACAAAGGAATATAGATTAACTTGAGATACTAGGTCTATATTCAGCCATCATATACCTCAAGCAGCTGCAGATTGAAACTGGTATTCATGTTATTTTGTTAGAAGATATACTAGTCAAATCAATGGATACTGGACTTCTATGCAATTGGACTGTTAAAATGACCACTGAGAAACCATCATTCTTGTACACTAGATGGATTGTGGAAAGCTTTTAGTGAGGTGTGGTATGCTTTGGACATGCTAGTGTTACTATAGAACCTTAAGCAATGGAAATGTTGCTACATTTCTATTGTCAAGATGTATGATTATCAGATAGAGAATGATAGAACACGGTGAAATGAGCTCTAACGACGTGGTGAGGCTCCAAAATTATTATTGTAATATACTCAACCTTCTTTATCAAATTAACTGAATTCCAATACTTTTTCAGATTTCAAAATGTAAGTCATAACTGAAATGCTTTACTACATATAAAGATAGTGTTTCAGATAAACTTTTGTCTGTCATTGTCTAACCCAGCTTACAATTTCTGGTATTAAACAAAAGATCTAACCATTGGGCAGTGAGTAGCTTTTGAGAGACAAATGACATATCTAAAATACTGTTTATACACACCTCTGGTTTGAAATTTGTGATGGGCAAATTATAAGGAATGTGAAAAACCATCTGAAATTTGTGATTTTTATCATAAATATTAGACCTATTAAAACCATATTGACAGAAATCTGTGACTGTTAGAAATCATATACAAAACATACAGATCTTGAGAATATTAAAAATAGTCTTATTACTGTAAATGTGTTGTTATTTCGAAAGAATCCTGGTTTTGTTAGCTATAGCAAATAAGATCAAGGCTATTATAGGGAAAGCAAATTATAAAGTTGTTATAAAAACAAGTTAACTGTAGATGTTTTTATAACAGTTTTTGGGCCTGTTGATTTTCAGTATTTCATGTTGAAGCTGGAACTTTTAAAGTATTATTATTATGGTTATATAAGTAGTATTTTATAAAATCCTTTGTTATAAAATCTTTATTGAGCAGTGACTTGTGGAAGACGGGAGAGATCTGAAATGCTATTTGCATACACATCTGATTTTCAAGCTGCAATAGACAACTTAAGGGGAAAGTTAAAAAACATTTGCAGTTAACTTATTTTCATAACAACTTTCAGACTTATTTTTCCAATATTTCACTGGTTTTTGACATTGAAATAGTAGGTTCATAAAATTGTCTTACCTCCATGAAAGTAAGTTTAACCATTTGTATGATAGAACAATTTCAATAGGAATAGAAGACTAATAAATAACCATAGGGATAAAAAGATGAGTTAGATCTGTTAGTAACAATTTTTATTAATAAAATAGGAACAGACTAGTAAATTTTTCAAGTAAGGAAGATTTACTCTGTTTATCAGAATTTTCATTATGTCAGGAAATCAATTTTTATCACATTTATTTTAGTAGTGGAGTTATTGTATAAAACAAAAACTTTTGTTCATGAATTATTAAATTAGTTTTGCAAGGTCTGTTGTAACAACTCCATGTTGACAATCTTAATCCTGGAAGATCATGGAAGTTTGTAAAAAAAATTTTTTATTACTATTATTTATCAAGTGGTCCTGGAAAAGTCTGATCCAATCACTCCCAACATCCCCAGTTTTTATTGTTGACAACTGTTGTGTTTATCTCAGTTTCATAAAAATGATCTCTAGAAAAATTTGAATTGTAAAATGAAAAACAGGCAGACTTGGCAACTTTGACCAATAACAGACTTTGAACTATGTACTTTCATCTGTACATGAACAAGTGCCACATGAAATATTATTGGAATGATATTTAAAAAAAAAATAATCACCAGACTTGTTTGGTAGAAAGGTAAGATAATAAAATTGTTCATAGTCTAATAGAATATGAATGTTTCAGAATTATCCTAATTCCTACTTAATCATAAATGCTTCTTGAATAATTAACAATGTTTCTAGCCTAAATTCATCATCATTTATTCCCCAAATTCAATAATGAAAAGAGAGAAATGCAAATTCAAATGGAACAACATAATAGAATGAGTGTTATAAACTTAAATACCATGCAAGAAATAGTCAAATATTTACCTTTAAAGACAGCCCTTCAGCTTCTACCTAATTAGGTCACCCGTTATTTATATGGTTATTGATCTAGGCCAAGATATTTTGAGTGGCATTTTAGGCCCCATTACTAAATATTTCAGGACAATCTCCTGTTTTTAAGATACAATCCACACTGTAAATACATTATAATATTGTATGTTATTATTATTATTTTATCTCTTTCTATTCTTATTAGTTTTCTCTTTCAGATCTGAGGTGAATAAAATTCTTAAACTGATTCATAATTTTACTTATCACCATACCCTGTGATGACTGGTACATCTGACAGCACCTTTGACATCAAATAAAGTTATTCAGAACAATTATTGTTTTAAATATTATTTACATGTGGGTGTTATGAAAGAAATCTTCAAGCTGAACACCACATTGAATTATAAATAATGTATTGACCCACAAAGTTTCTAGCTCTTTGTGTTCAGTTGTAACAGTAACCTGAGAAAACATTTAAAAATAATGGAATGCAATTGCATGGAGAACATACGAGATACACAACACTGATAATATGCAAAATAATGTTAAAGTGGTTTCAGTAATGATATGAGTGTGAATTTTTGCTGTGTCAGCATGGTGATGTGTAGTAGTGTATATTTAGCAGTTAATCAGGTACAACTTATGCCGTTGGTAAATTGAAATAATATGTTCAGAGGTGACATCAGCTTCTTCCTGGGGATGGGTCTGAGGGGGACTAGATAAAAATAAAAAAACTGAGGGGATTGCATTCTACATATTGTAGGCACACATACTGTATTGTTTAGTAAGTGAACCAGTTTTACCAGCAAGCATTTTTCATTAGATGAAGGGACTACAGGGAAGGGTAAGGCATGTTCTGGGTTAGCTTCAGTCCCAGCATGACCCCCCCTTCATTTACTGTAAATATTTGGGTGTGATTGGATGCTAGAGTAGATTTTAGCTCTGGCTAAAGCATAATATTTGGGGGAGAGAGACAAGGATTTTTCACCTGTTATCAAACTGAAGTTGAAAAAAGATGGAGTATACTTAGGAGACTATAAGTGGAAAAGAATTCATTATTACTTTGTTCATTAATGCATGCTCATTTAGAATTTCTTTAATGTGTAGTTTCATAGTCAGATTTTTTGTTTAAGTTTTTTTTGTTTTGTTTTTTCAGTAACTCAGGTGTTAATCAAGTATGCAAATTCAGTCCAACATGGTTGAATATCAACACTTCTGGTTTTTGACTGCTAGAACACCCATAGAATATTTACCATGCATGTAAAAAAAAAGGGAAGAAGTTAAAATAATGTCTATTTTACTTGCATTTCACTCTTTGTGTTCTTGCTATAATGTTTCGTACAGCTGTTACTGCATTTTTTATAAAATATAATAAAACATCAGTTAATTTTGGTGGAGTTCACGGGTATTGAAATCAATAAAGTGGGTCTTTGAAAATGACAGTTTTGTCCTGATATTCTTTTTTCCATTAGACTGTGCACACCATGGATATCTGTATAAAATTATCTTCAACAGAAATATAATTGAAATTAAGAAATGTTCTATTGGGTTTACTTTTAGTCTGTTGCATTTTTGTTTTGTGGTTAGCTAAGTAATCTTCAAAGAAAAGTTTATTTTTTGAACATTTTCCAACCTTTAAGCATACTTGCTAGAATTCTAAAATTATAATGAAAGACTTTTGTATAGATTTATTTATCTAGAACACTGCACTCCATAATCTATGCCTGAAGTAATCTTGTGTTACATTCTGGGCCTATTTGCACTCATTTATGTGAATTAATATCTATGATTCATCTATTCAGAAGTTTCCTCAGCTGTTCCAGTAAATATAAATCTTAAGGAAGGATAAGGAATGGATAATAGTGGATTTCTTAATGAAGTGATAGTTAATAACTTGTTTAGCCTATAGTTAAAGGAAGCCACCTAATCCAATGCGTAGCTTTCAAATATTTTTGAGCTTAACAAAATCTTCTGTGAAATACTTAAGTATCAAATGTACATCATAGTTTTTAAAAAAATGTTTTTTTGGGAGGGTAAGGGGGCATATTCTAATAGTCAGCATATTAGACTGCGAAATTGGGAGATCCTAAGTTCAACTTTGTAATGAGGGTGCTCCAGGAGAGAGAAGACATTAGAAAGCTAAGCTCTTGGAAATTTTTGATTTTTGTTTAATATTCAGACTATGATTAGTAGTAATTTATGTTAAATAACAAACGAATAACTAGATTTAAGAAGATTGGTAAATAAAAATAGTTAGAGCTTAATGGTATAACAGTACTTTAGGCTTAGCTATGATTCAACTTATTGGTAAATCATAAAAGAGATTAAATACATTGTTTTATCAAACAAATACAGTCCTTGGTGGGACAGTGGTAAGATCAGGGGCTCAATACCCCTCGGCAGACACAGCAGATAGCCC